ATCATTTCCAAGATGGAATATTCGTACATCAATCAAATTACACCAAAAAGGTGTTAAAGCGCTTTAATATGGATAAAGTGACTCCTTTGAATACTTCAATGGTCAATAGATCGCTTGATGTTGACAAGGATCCAATTCCACGTTGTGAAGATAACGAAGAAATATTAGGTCCCAAGGTACCTTATATGAGCGCTATTAGCGGATTAATGTACCTTGCAAATTGTACTCGACCAGATATAGCATTTGCTACCAACCTACTTGTAAGATACAGTGCATCCCCTACGCGTAAACATTGGAATGGAATAAAGCACATCTTCCATTATCTACAAGGTATGGTTGACTTAAGCCTATTTTATTCAAGAAACTCCAAGGTTGGTTTAGTTGGTTTTGCAGATGCAGGATACTTGTCAGATCCGCACAAAGCGCGATCACAAACAGGATATATTTTCACAATTGGTGGAACGGCGATCTTGTAACATTCTCAAAAACAGATTATGGTCGCCACTTCTTCAAATTATGCGGAGATTATTGCGCTTCACGAAGCATGCAGAGTGTGTTTGTGGCTTAGATAAATGACTCAACACATACAAGAATCAAGCAGAATAATCAAAGATAAAGAGTCCACAAAAATATTTAAAGACAATGCTGCTTGTGTCGCCCAAATTAAAGAAGGTTATATCAAGAGCGACATGACAAAACATATTCCTCCAAGATTTCTTTCATATACTCAAGAACTCGAGAAAAACGAGGAGATCGATGTCCAATACATTTGTTCAAGCAACAATGCAGCAGACTCTTTACAAAAGCGCTTCCTACTGCAATATTCAGAAAACATATTTACATCATTGGAATGTGTCATCTACGAGACTTAGGAAGAAAAGAATATATGTCTTTTCCAGGAAAAGTTTTACTGCATTCTTTTTCACTTGTCATGATTTTTGTCCTAAAATGGGTTTTTCCATGATAAAGTTTTTAATGAGGCAGTACGCACCATATCAATGGAAATGGATAATCAATGGAGAGTGTTATAAAATATATTGATTATACATTTGGAAATATAGTTCTCTTCCCAAACTTCTTAGCTATTAAGTATTCATCCCCCTTAGAGATTCATCTTCCTTGGACTATTTTGTCCCCAAATTTCTAAAACGTTATCTCCAAGAAGACAATATGGTAAGAGAAATAAGAAGAGATCTTAATAGTTTTATTCTTCATTGTCTAACTCTCTCTCTAAATCTCTCTTCTCTAATGTTTACATATATACCAGCGCTTTATCGAAGTTGTTTTTCACAACACTTTAATTTTTATTCAGTTTCATTCTTTTTTGGATTTACAAAATAAATGAGTCTTAGAGAACTCACAAGATATACAAATAAATTAAAATAATCAAATCTTAATGAAATGAAAAATAACAAAGTTAATTAAATCAATCAAGGTGTCATTAATTTAATAACTTTCTTGAGATATGCTTTGACAAAGATATTTTCCGAAAAGGTAAATTAGAATCACACAAATTAATTAACACATGAAAGAACAACTGGAATCACGGAAGTTATTATTTCACAGAAACAAGACAGTGAAAGGATCTCACACAATAATCTAAAAATGATTTACACTTGTGGTTTAGGATGAATCCACAAACTAAAATAGATAAGCAAATCAAAGCATAAAACCTTCACTGAAAATATAGAAACTTAATCAAGATATGCTATTATAATGCTTACTACATGCTGCTACATTCATTTCTCTGACAGATGGTCAGAAGTTTCTCTGGGTTCCAATTTGTAGTAGTGGCAAAATCTGTGACTGGAGCGAAGGAATGGTAGGTAACTCAAGCTCTCCTCCATAAATGTACGACTCATCTATTGTGGTTGATCAGGAAATCCAGTTATGGAGTGTTCGCTGTAATGTACCGTGTACGTTCGGTGTTGGCTGTAGAAGTTTAGGCCATTTGTAAAGCCTTTTATCAACTGGTGAATAGAGGGATTAGGAAAATCCATGTGCTCTCGGATTCTGTGTCCCTTAACAAGACAATTAACTCTCAAAACACCCCATACCAAGTGATTATTAATGGTACTAGGAGAGAATCCACGCGTATGCGCGGATCTTGTTTGAATTTATATTTTAAATAATTTGTATTGAACTTTAAGTTTATTATTAATGTATTTTTGTCTAAAATATTTTTTTTTTTTTAATTTCTTCTTGATGATATAATATATGTAATCTCCTTTACACCAGTTGTATTAAATAGTTTCATTTTTTCTTTGATCTTTATATTCTTTTTATTCTTGTAAATCGTACTAATATAATATTTATTATTTTTTTTAATTTAATATTTGATTTTTTTTGGTTATATATATTTTATTGATTTTATTTTTTTATTATTTAAAAAAAACCATAAATGACATTTTTATGTGGATATCTTTCTTTTTACTATTATTTTTAATAATTTTTATCTTTTTAATAGTTTATTTAATATGATTTGTGTTTTACAGTTTTATTAGTTGAATTTTTATATAAGATGATTTGAAATTTTTTAACTTATTTAGTTTCATAATTTTTTTTCACTTGCATTAAAATTTAATTATATTTTTAATTTATAAATGAAGTTTAAAACATTTAAAAAGAAAATAAAATTGTACATTAAAAACGTCTTGTATTATATAATATTTATAAGTTTGTATATAGTTAAATTAAATTTGAATTTTATTCTAATATAAATATATATTAATATTTATTTATGTTTTTAATGTGTTTTAATGTGTTTTAATATGTTTTAATATGTTTTAATGTGTTTGCTTTAAATATAATTAATTAATTATTTTATTAAATTTGAAGATGTGTCACTCTCCAGCGCTGATGTGTCACTCAACTGGAGAGAGTTGGCCAAGTTTTATATATAAGATTCGTCTTTTTGGCATTATCTTTCTCTTCGATCATTGCAATTGTAATATATATTTTTTCAATAAGATTTATTTTTATGTTCCAATTAAAAAATGATTAGTATATATATTGAGATATAAAAATTGATGTTAATACAAAATGTACATATAATATATAACTAAAACCCAATTACATATTCTTCTATTAAAACCATTAATTAAAATAAACATTAACAAAAAAATATAATATAAAATAATTAAATGCATAATAAAATATATGATTCCTAAGTTACCCATTTAAAATTCAATTATTTTTTTTTTAGTATAACTCCATATTGAATAATGAATATTCATTCAAGGACTCAATTCAATTGTTATTACAGTAATACTCAACATTGAACTAAATACACAATTAAAGACACCATTCAATTGTTAAATTATGTTGAATATATATGAATACGTGTGACGACAAATTGACTAAACTCGCACAAATTATTCTGCGCTTCAATATTGAGCCATTGGTCCATCTCCTTAAAACTGTCTTCTGTGAACAAATTATTGGAACAAGCCTTGGTGTTTTCTAGCTTGGGTGTGACTTTCTACTCCTGAGTCCGATGGGTTAGTCCTCTTATATAATTTGTCATTTTTTTCTTATTGTTGTAGACTTCTAGTGAGATAGAAAACGAAAACAAAATAAAAGTTATGATTCTTGGATTCCTTTCATCATATCATAATGAAATCTATAGCGGCATAAACTGAATGTTGATACAGTGTGTGTAATTATTATTTTTTGTTTTGCTTTAATCTGTTTATGAATGTCAGGTTGGGGATCCGATTCCTAATAACATTATATTCTTTTTTTTATAAACTACCTATTCTCAGAACTTCATTAGTCTATACATAGGAATCTACAATAACCATTTTTGTCTCAGATTTGAGTTAAGTACATGGTATCGTAACTCAGTTTGTTAACTCAAATCGGCTGGTCTGGGTAAGAATTATTATTGTCTTAAAGTGCGGTTTTGTTCAAGATAAACCGAGAAAAGCCATCATCTCAATAGAATGATAACACATTAATAATTAAACTAAAATTTTGTATTAATTTGAGATTCTAACTTTATCTACTCATAGTCCTCTTATCTACTTAAGAGTGTTTTCAATCTCAAAGGTAGTTTTCACTTGTTCATACTAATTCTCAGCTCTTTTGCAATCTTCTATTATGCATGTAGATGTATACTTGCTTCCCCAAACAGATTTCCCATCAGGAGGATTGTACTTCTGGAACATGAGATGGGCTAAAGTGACAAAGGAAAAACATATCCTAATCCACAATAAGTACATTGGTGTATGGCTAGTCAAAGATCATGCTCTTAACTGCCAACTAGAAAAATTACAAGAAAATTCAAATGCGTGAAGAAAGATTGTTCGTACTTAAAGTTATGTTTGAGTGTTATTATATAGCTAGTACAATGTGACCTGAGTTTTGTAATCTAGTGTTAAAGTTATAAAAGAAACATAGGAAAGCAAGAGAAAAAAGAAACAGAGAACCTTTACTTATCTCCTTCATCATCATCATAACATTTTTTTATAAAACATATAGTAACTTTTTAACCACTAACACTAACTATAAAATACCATAAAAACACATGGTTAAGTTTTTTTCAACTATAACAAATTCTTTTAATTTTTTAAGCAGAAAATCAATTTTTTAGAAAAGTGTATACGATATGCATGCCTCCACAAATCTACTTTCTAAACACCCAAATAACTTGTGGGACGGTGTCCGAGAGCCTAGTGTCAAAAACGAAGAGATCACGCTTACATAACAGACAAAATATGTTTGCAATATACGTAACGTAAGCTAAGAATATATAAGACAATTTTTTTTTCTTTGGTAAAATAAGTAAGACTACAATTTTTATATTACTTTAGAAATTAATTTACTTTTCGGTGTCATTTTTAGTAATCGTATTTAATATATATGCAAGTTTGGATAATTCAACAGCATACGCTATGTTCTTAAAAGTTTTCAGCTATTAGAGATACGTATACACAACAACATATTTTAGACCCCCAATAAAACCCCAAAGTTCATACTTGCGCCAAGTAATTGTGTGGAATATAATTAATCACGTAAAAAAAAGAATTCATTAAATCGAGTCTAATAACACTCGGATATGTGTTTCCATAGCGGCCGCTACATATTAACAACACCATTAATCATAATATCCCGTTAGATTCTAGCAAAAAAAAAAAGCTTGCTCTCCAATTTTGTTCCATCTCCGTACAAAATGGCACGGCGGCAACAACAGCGTTCAATCCAAAGCCTATTCTCAAACCGCTCCATGATTTATATCCTCTGCCACTTCGGTCTCTTCTTCATCCTTCTCCTCGGTGTATTCTTACCGTGGGCAGGATTTCCCATATTCCCCTTTCCATACAAATGCTCTTCTTCTTTGTGTTCTTCTTACTATTTGCACTCTAAATGGCACGACTATTCCGTCGCTCAAGCTGCCAAGTTTGTCGCTAAGAATGGGACGGTGATCGTATGCACTGTTAGCTATCCTCTCTTGCCTTTTCTCAACAACTGGTTGATTAGTGTTTCAAGACATAAACATCAAGAGAAAGTTCTCGTGATCGCCGAGGATTACGCTACTTTGTACAAGGTTAACGAGAAATGGCCTGGTCATGCTGTTCTCATGTCTCAACCGTTGGACTCTCAAACCGCACACAATTACGGTTCCCAGGTATAGTTTTACTTTTCTCTATCAAAATTAATGGCCTATAAACTTTGGGGTTTTGTGTATGTGATTGAACTTAGTTTTCACTGATTCACTTATATTTTGGATATTCGCCGATTGGCTAATGTTACTTCAATGATTACTGATCGGATCATAAATTTGTTGATGAAGAAGATTCAACTTCTCTTCATGCTATCAAAATCTAATAAACCCAAAACGATATAATCAAACTAAAAAAAAAAAGGATGATTCAGTTTAAGATTATGTCAATTGAGCTGGCCTTCCCCGAACCCCGCAAAAAAATTTATCAAATTAATCCAAATAAAATTCAAATTATTTGTTTTCCAAATAAAACGTAAATTCAAAACACTTCAAATCTAGGTACTTGAGTCTAGATTGCGATCTCTTTCAGCGTCTTCTAATTTCTCAACACCAGCTACCAAAAAAAAGTATCAAATTTGCCATGTTTAAATCATATAGAAATGAATGATTTAATAAATAAAAAATAAATATGTATGAATGTTAATGTTACCTGGATCACGAAATGTAAACTCATCCAACCAAGAGCGTGTGCAAATCAATGCTTTAACGTTTTTTGGTAGAATAATTTCTATTTTTTTTAAAAAAAAAAGCACACCAGTACTAATGTAGACTTTAAAAAAATTATAGTAAGACACAACTAGGATATTTCATAATTTTAAAGTTTAAATCTTTAAACAAAACCTGTAACTTAATCAAAATGACATAGGCTTTCTAGGTCAGCTCAAACTCGACCAGGTTCAGCCTAAAAAATTTACTTGACCAAAAGACCCAATATTTTTGGACCTGTTTTCTAGACCCGAACCAGTAGTTTTCAAGGCTTTACTCTAATACGTCAGTCTGAATTGATAGTAAGACATAATTAAAAAGTTAGGGTTCTCGATTAATGAAAAATACATAGAAAATATTCTAAATTTTAAAAAGTTAAATCCTAAAGAAAACCACTAACTTAATCAAAATGTTTATAGCCCATGCTTCTTGCCAAAGCCTGTTCGAGGCAAACCTAAAAATTTCACTTGTTCGAACGGGCTCTGCCTAAAATTTTTGGGGCTTAGATTTCTAGGCCAGAATCCGGAAATTTCAGTGCTGGTTCAGGCAAGATCTCGGGCAGCCAAATTAATCACAATTTTAAAGGAACATTTTAGCGATTTCAAATCAGAAGGGTGAAGCAACCAACAATAATGATAAATAAATAAAATATGACCAATCCATTCATTGCGAATTGATTTTCAGGTGGAAGTCATTTTTACAGTATAGTCCATGAGGTTTCAATTTTGAGTAATGTTTATTATATCACAAAAGATGGTGAATTTGTTGTGCATATAGTGGCAACCCTTTTTCTTTTTGATTTTGATCGAATTTTAGTGATTATCTATCTTTGTCTTTTTGTATGTGATAATCTATGCAAAGATCTTGTAATGCAACACAACCATCTTTGTAACTAAATTGTCATATCCTATTAGGGTTTCTACAATCTTACCTGTCGGAGGCCGCAACATCTCTTGGACATTTTGGAGCTAGGTTACAGTGTTATGTATAATGATGTTGATATGGTCTGGCTAAATGATCCTTTTCAGTATTTAGAAGGAAGCCACGACGTATACTTCACGGATGACGTGACTACAGTATGTAAAATGTTAATAACTTCTGCGTTTTAGAATGTGTATGTATATATCTTTATAATTGAGTTCGATTTTGGTGTTTCCAGGTTAAGCCTTTGAATGAATCACATGATTTACCACCTCTGAATCGATATGGAGTAACTAATATATGTAGTTGCATGATTTTCTTGCGTCCCACTAATGGAGCAAAGCTTTTAATGAAGAAATGGGCTGAAGAAATTGAAGCTCAACCTTGGTCCAACTCCAAAGCAAAACCACATGATCAGCCTGCTTTTAATCGGGCACTTAACAAAACAGCTCATCAGGTATGTCATGTTGCTTCCTCCAAGTTCCACAGTAACATATTTTTTTAAAAATTCGTCACAAGATGTAGTTACTTATTTGCTTGATTTAGTGGTATTAAAGCTTACAATCTTGAAAGGCTAAACCTTTCGGTATTCTATATTATTTTTTGTGGAATTCTCGGATCTGTTGTTTGACACGAGGATATGACTGTGTTGATCGACCTTGCCCCATGGGTTATTCCCTTTATCTAGTTTCGTTGTTTTGATTATTGTATGGATTTATGTGAGAAAGAAAACGAACACGAAAGAAAAGTTGTAACTCTTAAATTTCTTTTATTATAGTTAAATTTATAGAGGCATATGTATGTAGATAAATTTTGTTTCTTTCTATCTCTTGCTTTAAAAATTCTTCTTTAACTACTCAAAACTTCACTATTGTACTTAAGAATGTATGATTATGACTTGTGTCTTGGGTTTGAGTCCATGAATATTAACATGGTATCATAATCTAGTTTGTTAACTGGATAGTCTAAGTAATATTTAATGTTTGTCCTAAAATGTAATTCGAATAAGATTGACCGATAAAAGCTATCATCTTGATGGAACATATTACAAATTTTTTTGGTACTCTAAGATTCTAACTTTATCTACTCATAATTCCTCTAATCTACTTGTGAGTCTTTGATTACAACTTTTTTTAACCTCAAAGTTAACTTCCACTTGTTCGAAGTCATTTTTAACTCTTTTGTGATCTTCTATTATGTAGGTAGATGTCTACTTGCTTCCCCAAGCAGCTTTCCCATCAGGAGGACTGTACTTCAGGAACATAAGATGGGCGAAAAACACAAAGGAAAAACATGTCATAATCCACAATAACTACATGGTCGGTTTCAGCAGGAAGATGAAACGCTTTCAAGACTTTGGTCTATGGCTAGTCGATGATCATGGTCTTGAGTCCCCACTGGGAAAATTACAATAAAATTCGAATACCTGAAAAGGATCGTTGTCCTTAAAGTTATGTGAAAGTGTTAGGACTTGTGATGAAAATCAGGTTTCGGTATGAGCATAAATCCGACTGGTTATGTCACTTGGGTTTACTTAATTTGAGTATCTCAAAGTTAACCGACTTTAGTAATTGTAATAGACATTGTTATAAACAACATGTGTGTGTGTTCTGTCTCTCAATGATGGCTGTTGAGCTGAATTGTAGAGAGATAGAAACGATTCTGTAATCACCAAGAAAGATAGTGAATTACTGGGAAATCTTCAGGCTGAGATGCAGGATTCTCATTCTGAATGAATCGCAGAATTGACCAAAGACCACCACCAATAGGATAGGTATCTCACACTCTCTCGACACTCAAGAACTAGACAAAGAAGAAGATAACAAATCACTACAAGTGGTATAAGAGCCAGGTTCTGAAAAGATTCAAAGAATCCGAAGATTGAAATAGCCTGCTTCGACGATCAAATGGATTTCTTGATGTGGAAGAAGAAGATATTCGCGCGCACCTCTCAGTCCTTGGGCTCAAAGAGTCTCTTACCGAATCTGGAGTCAAGATCGAGAAAAAGAAAGGTGAAGATGAAGGTACATTTTCAGAAAGGAAGCTGAAAGAAAAATCTGACTGGCTTGAAAAGTCCGAGAGATACTTATACTGAATCTTGGGGATCATGTTCTGAGGAAGCTCGAGGATTGAAATTCTGCTGCATCGATCTGGACTGCTTTAGAAATGTTATACAATTCTCAGTCGTTACCAAATAGAATTCATCTACAACAAAAGTTCTATTCATTCAAGATGATGGAATCAAAATCTATTGATCAGCATATAGATGATTTTTTCAAACTGGTATCTGATTTGAGTAGCGTGAAGGATTCTGTGTCTGAAGAGGTTCAGGCTATTCACCTGTTGAATTCACTGCCACATCAATACAATTCCTTAAAGGAAACACTCAATTATGGCTGAGATACTCTCACCATAGAGCATGTGGCAAGTGCGACAAAATTAATGAAAATTGAGTTGGGGGAATCAGGTCAAGCCGGTTCTCAAAAGAGTGGAGAAGCTTATGTTGCTCGTGGAAGATGATCTTGCTAGGGTTTGAGGTCGCAGTTAGATGTTTTAAATTTGTAATCCTAGTGTCTGCAAGTGCACATCACTCCGATCTAGTATTAAGGGTGTCGATCCACATGGAGAATTGTCTTTTCTGCAAAAATATTAAACTGAAATTAATTAACAAATTCAAAAACTCAAGATGACTTTTTATATGGTTTGGTGTCATAAGAAAAACTAAAATCAATTAAAAAAAAACAATAAATAAAATCGATATGGGCTAACGATAAAAGAAATGTTGGACTGGCAAGAATATATTAGAGGATGTTCAATTCATGTTAGGGTCCTAAGCTCTTAAAATCGGTTTCTAGTAATCTACAATGAACTAAAAAACACATAGGTATGATCAGATTGCTGTCGCGTAACTAACCAACTAATCACTTAAACTTGACCAGTAACTTTCATCTCTAGCCGAGAGAGATCATGCAATATCATACAAGTTTCATCTTTGCTCACAATATTCTATAGGTCTCCTATAATGATTTCATTTTCCTGAAGCTATGTCTAGTCAAATAATAAAACACTCTCGTAGCTTAATTTACCTAAGATCAGTTGTTAGTTCATGACTCTAACTCCATGCAATATGAATAAGTTTAGAAGAGATGAGATCTAGAATATGGTTAAGAAAAAAAATCCTAATCGAACATGGAGATGGATCCCTTAAACCCAACAACTAAACTACTTGCTTGGTCTACAATCTGGATCCGACGGATTTAAGACATGAACCCACTTGGTCTACAATCTAGATCCAACTTAGGTACGCTGGGAATCAGTCCAATTGGAGATCAGAAGAAGGATTTATTCAGATTACAAATCGGGTGATCCCAAATTTACCTGATTTGGATATATGCAACTTAATAGGAAGTTTCCGACCAGACCAGGAAGAAATTAAGAAATCAAAGAACTTGTTCTGGATTATTGATTTTTCAGAGAACCACTAGAAAATTAATCATGCTGAGATCAGATTTTTGTTTTTAAGGAGATATTTGATCTCTAAACGGATGAATCCTCGACTTTCCTTATTTAGAACCTTCCGAGTTTGGGAGACTTTAAATTTTTTAAAAACCCTAAAATTTGATTTTACGACGGTTTTACGACGGTTTTTCTAAACCCTAAACCCTAAGTCTAGGTTTTAAGCCCTGAATGAATAGGGTTTCAACATTACGACGTCTTTACGACGAACAATCGTAATATCGTCGTAAAGTTACGACGGTTTTACAACGGTTTTACGACGAGTACACTATTTCGTCGTAATGTCGTCGTAATGTTGAAATCCAAGAATTTGAATCTTTTATATCTTATTGGTTGTAAGGTATTTCACCAATGTTTTTGATTGATTATCTTATTTTATATGAAATGCTATCAATCTGATCAAAATCAAAAATTTGAAAAAAAACATACATATTTACAAGTTCATGCATGTTTTCGTAAATGTTAAGTGAAAGGTTATATATTAGATTACGGAATTTCAATTTTTACTATCTCATGTCATAAATCCATCATACATGCAAAGTTGTAAACCTTTTGTTATATGTTAGGATACAATAACCTTTGCATTGTTCTTTATGCAATATCCCATTTATAAGATTTAGGGTTTACTCACTTTTAAAAAAAACATCGTAAAACCGTCGTAATATACTCGTAAAGTTACGACGGTTTTACGACGATTAAACCCAAAACCGTCGTAACACCGCCGTAATGTTTGCACCGGATAGGCTCTTGATCCGAGGTACGAGGTTATGAATGTTTAGACCTTACGACGATTTTACGATGGTTTGGGGTTTAATCGTCGTAAAACTATCGTAACGGTCAAATGCTCCCATCACGACACGTGTCATGTCATAGAGTGGACCGACTGTTATACAACCGAATCGTCGTAAAACCGTCGTAATGTTACGACGATCACAAAATCTATATAAGGGACGCGAGATTTCCTCCTTCGTCGCTCATTCCTCTCTTCCCTCTCTCTCTAGAAATCTCTCTATTTCTCTACAAATAAACCTCTCCCTTTTCTCCCTACTCTCCAGCCAATTAATTTGTAAGTATTTTTGTTAAATTAATTTCATTAAATATTATTTTAGATTTAGGTTCAGAATTTAGATTTAGGTTCGGAATTTAGATTTAGGTTTCAGAATTTAGTTAGGCCCGGATTTTGGTAAATTTAAATAAATATTTGAAAAATTAGTAACTAATTTTTTAAAATTTTGTAGATTCTGTCGATATGGCTCCTCGGGCTAAGAGATTTCACTACCGACAGCTCGTCGATTCTGACGATACGGCCCCGTCTACCTCGGCAACCGGATCAGCCATCCCGGAGTCCTCGGGAACACAACGGATGGTTTCCCAACCGGTAGTTGTTCCGCAGCCGGCACCGCCTCCACCACCACCAGCCGAACCAGCGGCTCCCGCCCAGGCTGATCCTGAGGCTGATCCGATCCCGCATGTACCGTATGCCCTGTTTACGGTACAGGATCTTCTGGCGCAACCCGGTCGTGAGACCATGAACAAACTCGACCCGGATCGAGCCCCAGGCACCTTTTGGTACGTAATTTTTTTCCTACAATATTTTTAAATTAATTAATATTTATTCTTATATATTTGATATTAATTTACTTTTTCTCTTTCCATTTGACTAGGTTTACGACCGACAATGCAGTTGGTCGTAACGTTGCGGATATCATCAAAGGGTTTTTCGTACAACCCCATACCAGCTGTAAGAAGCTGGATCAGGCCACACTTGACACTTGGTTCAAGTGTTTTGTGGTAAGTAATTTACCATTTCGTTTAATTGTAATTTTAAATTTTAACTTTTTACAATAATTACTAACTTCTTTTTTTTTCCTAGCAAAACTGGCATTGGGAAACATCCGCACACGGACGTGTGGAGACGGCCTTCAAGGAGAAGGTCAAATTCCGCCTCAACAACACCGTTTCCGACTGGAAACGGAAGTGGGAGGTTGACGGCGACAAGGCCAAGCCGGAGCCTATGGCTAATACCGTCTGGCGGGGCCTTGTCCAGTACTGGTTGGATCCGCACAACCAGACTACGACCGCCAAGTGTTCCGGATCTAGGTAAGTAGTTAATTCCAATAATATTAACATTATTTTTTTTTTCTTATAATAGATTCTAATGAAAATATTTTTCAGGAACGCTACTGACGATGCGGGAAATCGGAAGAACATCCCGCACACTTCCGGCCAGATTCCTTTTGCCGGAAGACGGCTTATGATGGTAAGTAAATTAAAATTACTAATTTTTTTGTTTTCAAATAATTAACTTTTATTTCTCGATACTAATTAATTTTTTCATTTTGATTTTGTAGGTCGAAGATAACGGAGGAGAACTTCCTCCGATGACGAAGGTTTTCGCCGAGAAGCATAAGAAGCCTAACGGCGAATTCACGGATCCTCGGGCGGAGGAGATCTACAACGCCGCCTGTGCGGCGATCGAGGAGCGACAGACGCAGCTGACTCAGCAGGCGTGTCAAACGTCTCCCGGAGGTAGCTCGGTCCAATCGACCCCGGCGCTGACGGTGGCGGAGATGGACCAGATCTTCGAAGAGGTAAATTTAATTACTATATTTAATTAATGTAACTTTAGTTTTAAATTAAATTTCTAACCATAATGTTTTTAAAATATTTGTAGGTTGCCCCAAAGAAAAAGGGGCGGGTATTAGAGATGGGGTCCATCCGTGATACCTCGAGAGCTACGGCGACTGGTCACGTCCGGGTCCCGGATCCGGTCATCCGCCAGGAGATCAATCAGATGCGGATCTGGTACGAGACGAGGATCGACCAGCTCTACGGTCTCTTCGAGATCATGGGAGCCGACAACCCAGTACTCATGGCGCAGTTGGACAAGCTGCAGGCTGATGGGGTTGTCGGATCGTCTGCCGCCGGATCATCCACTAGGAGGCAACCACCGGTGCAGACGGACGAGGAGATGTTCCGATCTCTCGGGGTTGAGCCTCCTAGAGCCGGAGATCAGGCGCCGGCGGAAGCATCAAACCGAAGACCCGGCAAGGAACACGTCCAGGACGATGGGGAGTGATATGATCGTGACCAGCTCAGAGGAGGAGGAACCAGAGGTAGCTGGCAGGATCACTCGTTCCAGAGCTAGAGAGATGGCTAAGGAGGCTCACGCACTCATTGCCACAGAGGACAGCGATCACCAGGAGGCTGGAGCTCACGTC